AGGTCTACAAAGAAGAGGTCTGAGGACTGAACCCTGCATTCAGATGTTGGGATACTACAAAAGGAAAAACAACTAAGTGACGACAAAAACTGAGACCGGGATGTCCTGATGAAGGCATTTTTTGAGGGAGTGAGAGATAGAGACAAATGCTTTAGAGAAAACAGTCATGAAACAGAGCTGACCACTGGACTGAAGGTGGCAAAAGTTACTAGGGACCTGAACACAAGCAATTTCACGAAGCCGTGATAGTCACAGGTTGTAGAAAAAAAAGGAAGGTGGATGAGGTGGCACACACCTGTAATCCTAGCACTTGGGAGGCAGAGGAAAGAGGATCACCGCAAGTTTGAGGTCAGCCTCAACTACACAATGAGACCCTGTCCCAAAAAGCCAACCAAACAAGGTAATGAAGCTTGGATGGTGAGTTCAAACTTCTATCTCTCTCTCTTTCTCTCTCTCTCTTTTTTTTTTTTTTTGTATTTTAGGGAAGGGCCCACAGGGTGTTCAGGGTCTCACTACTACACTACTAGATTGGACTCAGTGATCCGCCTGTTTACAGCCTCCCAGAGAGCTGGGATTACAGGCCCATGCCACCACACCCTGCACCACCACGCCCAGTCTTACTTGCTGTCTCAGCGTGCCCCCCAGGCGGGGCCAGCATGGTAGGTCCAGGGATCGAACCCCCAGTCCCTGCACCTGCTTGCAGGCGTTTTATTTTTATTTATTTTTTAAAATTTATTATTTATTTATATGTGTGTGTGTGTGTGTGTGTGTGTGGCCAGCTCAGCCCACCAGGGGGCAGAGCTGGCTGGCATGTGGTGCTGGGGGATTGAACCGCAGTCCCTGTGCTTTATTAAGCTTGTTCTAAGTAGGTGCTTTAGACCACTGAGCCATCTCACCAGCCCTTGCAGGTGTTTTAATACATCAAACTTCTCTTTTGAGGAAGTTCTCCTACCTCCTGTAAAGATAGCAGAAAATCTGGGTGCATGCCCGTAATCCCAGCACTCTGGAGGCTGAGGCAGGAGGATCACTGCAAGTTTGAGACCAGACTGGGGTACAAAGTGAGCTCAATATGAGCCTGAACTGTATAATAAGATCCTGTCTCAAAACAAAACAAAACAAAACACAACAACAAACACAAACGAAAAAAGACGAGCAAAAAAACAGCCAGTAGAGAAAAAGGCCAGTAGGGGCCAGAGAGATAGCTCAGTAGAATAAGCGCTTGTCTGGCAAGCGCAAGGGCCTTAGTTCAATCCCCAGTTCCACAAAAAAAAAAAGAAAAAGAAAAAAAAGAAAAAAAGGCCAGTACGAGGACTTTTCTTTTAAAGATGTAAGAAATTATAGCATACTTGTGTGCTAAGGGTACTAATCTATTAGAGAAGGACAAGCTGCATAGAGGAGAGGGTGCTGGAGGAATACATCTTGGTAAGTAGTAAAAGATGGGATTTAGATTATTTTGGTGGGGCTGGGGAGATGGCTCAGTGGAATAAGCGCTTCCCTGGTAAGCACAAGGGCCTGAGTTCAATCCCCAGTTCCACCAAAACAAACAAACAAACAAACAAACAAACAAAACCCTCATAGATTATTTTGGTGGTTTTCTTGAGACAGTCTCACTTTGTAGTGCAGGCTGACCTTGAACTCACTGTGATCTTCCTGCCTCAGGCCCCGAGTGCTAGGATTACAGGGGCATGCCACCTCAACACCTGTGAAAGGCTGGCCAAAGGGACATTATTAGTCCTCCCACAGCTGCAAGAAAAGGAGAATATGTGGGTGGAGGCAGAGGTGGCCAAAGTGTGAGGTCTCTCTCCCTGCTACCTGCCCAGCAATTTATACTACAAATCCACAGTGGGAGAGAACCACTCCAAAGCGCTCCTGCTGCATGTGCGGGACCAATGCGTACCCTGGTAGGAGCCCATTTCTAGGAAAACTGCAACAAAATAAAGAGCTGGGGGGCCGGGGAGATGGCTCAGTGGAATAAGCGCTTCCATGGCAAGCGCAAGGGTCTGAGTTCAATCCATGGTTCCGGGGGCGGGAAAAAAAAAAAATCAAGAGCTGGACTGAAGTACACTGAGGAGAAGGATAAGTTCTGGGTCACACTCCACACTGGTCGCTATTCCTCGAGGGAAGCTTCCTTAGGAAACAGGGTCTGTGAAAGATAAGGCAGGAGAGGAAGGAAGGAAATGGAGAGAATGGCAAGGAGGTCTGACAGAGGATAAGCCTGCGTAACACAGAAGGTGCACGCTGGCTTATGATGAGTGGCCTTGGTTTGTGTCTCCCTACTAGCTGTGTGTCCTCCAGCAAATTACTTAAGTGTCTCTCATTCCAACCCCAACTCTTTTTTTGTCTTTTTGAGATGGTCTCACTATGCAGTTCAGGCCAGTGTTGATCTCACTCTATAGCCCAGGCTGGTCTCGAACTTGCAATGATCCTCCTGCCCCAGCTTCCCCAGTGCTGGGATTACAGGCCTGCGCCACCATGCCTGGCTCTCTCATTCTCCTCTGCACAGGGCTGGTAGAATAAAGACCCACTGTACAAGGTAACTGAAGGGTCAGCCTCATAGTACAGCTCAGAAAAGTTTCTGTTTTCCAATACTGGCAGGCAACATTTTCAGTTTTGGCCACTGTTCTGCCAGGCAGACAGGTATCCCAAGCCCTGCAAGTTCTAAAAGCAATGAGACAAACAAGTTTAAACCAGTGATTCTTGTCTTACAGGAGTTGATAGTCTAGATGAAGGAATAAGATAACACTAACAACACTTAACATGTCAAAAGATTTATAGGCGGCACTGTGGTCCAGTGGTGCAGACGTCGGGCATAGACGAGAGCCTAAACATGCATGTTATCCCTAGATGACAAATCAAGTCATAAATGGATTTTTATCCCCTAGAACTGGGTTAGACACAAGGTCTTAGCACTGAGCTACATCCCTTGTCCTTTTTAACACTTTTATTTGCTAAGTTGCTCTATTGCCCAGGCTGGGCTTGAACTTGCCATCCTCCTGTCTCAGCCTCTCTGAGTGCACATTACAGATGTGCACCACCACACCTGGTTCATTACGGGATTCTTCCGAAGTGGTTTTTGTGCATACAAATGCTCATTCTTGTAATATGTGCGTGTGTGTGTGTGGGGGGGGATTATCCTTCTATTCCTCTTGTCCTCAGGGGGCCATACCAAGGCCTTGCCTGAGAGCCCAACGCTGACCTATAAAGCCGGCCTTCTCCATAGTTCCTTCTTGGCAGAGGGACCTGAACTTCAGACTTCACTCCCTACACCTTTCAATTCAACTATAAAAGGAATCAGTAAACAGTGCCATGAGCAATCATTAATTGAATTCCCAGAGGGCACCAGTTTAAGGCCTTGCTCTTTCTCTTCTCTTCAGAGGAAGAGATGCAAAGTGTAAAAGACTTATCCAAGTTCACAGACACCGTGCTGGGTTACGATCAGAGCGCAGGCAATATGTACAGTGCTGTCAGCAGCCCTAGCAGGTACTAAATTGCCTTCCTCATGCAAATGCTAGAGGGCAGAGTAATTAGTATTTCTCACATGTGATCATATGTCAAGATCTGTGTTAAGGAGCTTCTCAGGCATTATGTTAAACACTGCCCTGCAGTTGGGAACAATGGCATATGCCTATAATCCCAACTATTCAGGAGGCTGAGGCAGGAGGATTGCCAGCCTGGGAAATACAGTGAGATCTTGTTTCAAAATACAAGATAATAGGGGCTGGAAAGATGGCTCAGTGGTCTAAAGCACCTACTTAGAATAAGCTTGGCAAAGCACAGGGACCACGGTTCGATCCCCCAGCACCACATGCCAGCCAGCCCCGCCCCCTGGTGGGCTGAGCTGGTCACACACACACACACACACACACACACACTAAATAAACGTAAAAACAAACAAAAAAACCCCAAAATAATAATTTTTCTGGAGACTCAGTATTCAAATCTCCAAAGAAAAGACAAAAGTGTTCTTGCTGCCCACCTTAAATGAATTGTACAAGGAACAAAGAACAGACTTGATGGACTTGTAAATCCTTAGTCCTTTATGCAAACAGTGGTGGTGTTGCTTCTCCTAAATATTCCCATTTAAAATGCAGACAAGAAGTGTGTTGCTCCGTGAAGGTACAGGATGTGGGAAAACATTGCTGATGGTAGTGTACATAAGAGCAGCACCAAGTCCTGAACCAGAGTCATCCCATGCTAACTCTGAGGTAGGTTTTTTTTTGTCTTTTTGAGACAGGGTCTTGCGGTGCAGCTCAGGGTGGCCTCAAGCTCACATTGTAGCCCAGGCTGGTCTGGAACGCCTTACGATCCTCCTGCCCCAGCCTCCCCTGTGCAGGGATTACAGGCGCGCTCCTCCACCACGCCTAGCTTGAGGTAGGTTATTATTAAATGCCCTTGGAGGAGGACAAACACCCGCGTGTAACTGTAGGTGACACTGCTTTAAGAAATCTAGTCTCTCCTGCAAGCCCCCAGAGGGTCCGGATCTTTCCCGAGCTAGGTTCGACCTCACGTACTTTGGCTTCTCTTAGGGGCGGATGCTTTTCCCTCCACGGTCCACCCTTCCTTCCAGTCCCAGTCCGGGTCTGGCTCTCAAACCTTGCATCGGGGAAGTGCGACCTCGCAGCCCGGTTCCCATCCCCGACATTCCGCATGCTTTCCTTTCCGGAGGCTACACTCTGATGGCAAAAAAGTCCAAATACTTGGGCTTGAATTCTGGTTACAATCACCTCTGGCTTGCCCTGTGACCTTGGGCAATTCAAATCCCCTCTCTGAACCTCTTTTCTTTTTTCCTTATCTCTAAAAGATCGACTCCGCTCTAACATGCTGCGGCGAGGCGCGGGATAACTGACTGGGATGATGCTCCAAGGCAAAACCGAAGCACTGCCCTGGGGGAAGGAGGTCCCGCCTCGCCCACAGACCTTGCCCTGTGATCCCTCCCTCCGCAGACCTCTTAACCAGGCGACCTCTATTACGTTCCTGTCCCCTATAACCCCCGGACCAACCTGCAGGCAGGCTCCGCCCAGAACTGCAGCGGGGAACCGACGCTTCAAGGAGACCCCAACCACCGCCGCCATCTTGGCCACTGACGTCACCCCCAACCCTTAACTCTGAGGTCGCTCTAGGCCCACTTCCCGTCGAACACCGCGGCGCTAGCGGCCCCGCCGGAGGACCCGCTATTCGCCTAGGAATCCAGAGTGGGAGGTGGCTTCCGGTTTCGCGGGTGGGCGGGGAGAAGGCGGAGCTAGTCAAACGGAGCATGCGCAGTGCTGGCTAACATGGCGCATGCCCTTTGGTCTCCCGGTTTCTTAAGGTGACCTTCTTGGTCGGAGGGGGCGGAGTCTGATCAGGACGTTTCCCCCTAGAGGGTGGGGCTAAGCTAATTAGGGGCGGGGCCATTTAATTTGAATTTTTTATTCTGATTTTAACCCCCGTCTGCCCTAGGCTTTGCCAGTCTTATTGTTTATCTCCGACTTATTTCTGTTCAGGTTTCAGCAATCATGAGCTTCAGTGGGGGACAAATTGGGATAGTTGGTGAATGAACCATAGACCTGACAAAGGTCTCATTCCTTCATTAATTCACTCATATGTATGTACGAAGCTCCAGCTGTGTGGCAGGCGCCACCCCTGTGGCAAGGTGCAGTGTGTGTAAAAGCCATGCACTGAATTCCCTCTCCGAAAGTGTAGGTGGGCAAGTGACAGGGCTGCACAGTAGGGGAGAGTTCAGGGAAGGGCATCCCATCCTTGGTGACTTCATTAGCTACCACGTGCCAGTAACATTTCTACCATGCGCCGAACACGACGCTCCATCATCTCGTTTAATCCACACCAGTCCTGCTCCCTCTGGGCGCAGTGTTACCTCGTGGCCTCTGTGCTCCGAGTCTCTTGGTCTCTTCAGGCACCCCAGGTGGTGATTTTGCAGGCCCCCATGTTTGCTAACATTGATGCTTTTCCCCATTGATGCTGTGCCAGTGGGTTTTGACAAAGCGAGGGCACCTTTTTTATAGCCTGTGGGTTCCACACTCACAGCTCACTTAGGGAGAGTGAGATGGACAGATGGACTGGTGGGGAGGGTTAAGTTTCTGGAGTCCTAGGCTGGACCTGCCAGTGTGGCCTCACTGTGACTCAATACTGGAATCTGTTCTTGCCATCTGCCTCAAGGGACCCTTGGGTCCCCAGAGCTGGCTGACGTCATGGGAAGACTGTCGCTCTTCTAACTCCTCGTGAGATGAAGGAGGGGTGCAAGGGATGTATTTCCATGTGGAGGAGGAAGACACTTCAGATCCAAGGCATGGGAGTGAGAAACAAGAAGGGAGGCGGAGAAGCTGCATTACAGGGACAGAGAAGACTGCAGGGACTTGAGCGGGCCTGGAGGCCTTGGAGTTGTGAGGAGAGTGGGTGGTTGGTCCTCTTGGCATTTTCAGGATTTTTTTTTTTTTTTTTTTTTTGGTGGAACTGGGGATTGAACTCAAGCCCTTGCGCTTGCCAGGGAAGCGCTTATTCCCCTGAGCCATCCCCCTGCCCCAATATCAGGCTCAGGAGGAGATAGCTTTTTTTTTTTTTTTTTTTTTTTTTTGGCAGAACTGGGGATTGAACTCCTCAGGCCTTTGTGCTTGTCAGGCAAGCACTTATTCTACTGAGCCGTCTTCCTGGCCTCAGGCTTCTTTTAGAAGTGGTCCTTTTGGTATTTTCAGAGTTCCTTTGCCTCAAAGGCAGATGCCACTCCTACATAAACTAATGCTTTACTTTGCCCAGGTCACCTTGGAAAAAGCAATCCGAGGCCAGGAGAAGTGAGACTGTGATTTATGGCGAGGCTCTGGGTGCCAGGGAGCCCACAAGCCCAGCAGTCACATCATTCCTGGGACTCATGAGGATTTGGGCAGCTCAACGTTAAGGAGGAATAATAAATTCTGGGCGGCTGTACCTCCGCCCTAACTTTCTGGGATTCCAGAAAGGCACAACTGCTGAAAGATTTAGAGGTTTTCATGGCTTGCTTTTGATTTTGCTTTGGACTTATGTCAGAGCCTCCTTTTTTTCTAATTTGTTGTCATCTCTCTAGAGAGTGATATATTGCTTTTCGCCAGACTTTCTGCTCTATGTTTATACCTCGTCACTTACAAATGTGTTTACAGAAACAGTCTTATCTCATCCTCAAACGGCCCTTTTGGATTGAAAAAACTGTTCGCATTTTAGAGACTTTTTTGGTCTCCTCCTGCTGCTCTTTCTGCTCCAAGATTAACGCCTTCAGATGGAGGTCTTCTGATAGTAAGAAAGATGCACTGCGGGCTGGGGAGATGGCTCAGTAGAATAAACGTTTCCCTGGCAAGTGCAAGGGCCTGAGTTCAATCCCTGGTTCTGAAAAAAACAAAACAAAACAAAACAAAACAAAACAAAAAACCAGCAGAAGAAAGGTGCCACCTTGGTGGGAATGAATGTTGCTTTAAGAATCCCTTTTGAGCCCTTTAGGGCTGGAGATTAAAGTCCAGAATTAATTATTATTATTATATTTTTTCTGTACCAGGGATTGAACTCAAGACCCTGCGCTTGCCAGGCAAGCGCTTATTCTACTGAGCCATCTTCCCAGCCCCTTCATTTACTTTTGGCCCATAAGCCATTGCCCTCTTCCTTGGCTCTGGATGGTCCTTTCTTTTATCCAGCTGTCCTTTGGACATCTCTGCCTGAGTGTCATATAGGAGAAAGAAACTGCCAATCTGAAAGATATTTGGGAAGGATTTTTTTTTTTGGCTGGTTCAGGCTGCCTTAAGGGAGGGTCTGGTAAGGCAAGGTTGAGTCCCCGGCACATGACTGGGTTTGCCCTAGCAGGCGCTTAAACAACTGAGCTAACCCAGCAAGCCCCCTTGAAAAATATTTGGGATGAGTTCATGTTCTCTAAAATTGAAGAATGAATTTTAGGAACAACGGAGGTTACGAGCAGAATATATTTATTGAGGAAAAGAAAGCTTCTGTCCGAGACGGGGACAGAAGGTGATCCCAGTGGGATGACAAGGAACCTGTGTTTTCTAGGGATTTTTATAGAGCAAAACCAGAGGTGAGGCAGGTCCAAGGTGGGAAACATGGGAACTCGATAGGTGGGCCTGAGGTGGGACAAAACTAGGGTCAACCAGTAAGATTGCAAGCACCATTGCTCAGGTAAAATTGATTAAATCAGCATCAAATGGGGAAGTGAGTCACGTAGCAAGTGGGCATGAACATAGAACAGGGACTTTTCCTATGGGGGGTTGGGTTAGCGACTCTTCCTGGTTTTTAAAATCTTTTTTAGGGGAAGGTTTAGGGACTTGAACTCAGGACCTAGTGCCTGTCAGG